GCCGTAGCATAGTGACTTTATCCTAATAAATACTGCAACTCGCATGTTCGCTTGTACAGGCAAATCTCTGTGCATGAGTTAGCCGTTGCTGCTGATGTTATGTCTGATTATGGGTCCGCGACGGGCTTAGAAACATCAGACGAATAAAATTATTGTCTTCAGCGGTCATATTTTCTTCTAGAACTCGCACTGTATTAGCAGTATGTCATCTATCAAATCAGGTGCCCAGTTAAACGGCCCAGTACTACTTGCCCGGTCTGTGTGACTACAGACTGAGACGTAACCATGTCTGTGCAAGCAACTGAATCCCGCTCCGAATGAGGCTCTGCTATGACGATTTCTGAAACTTTACTTCGCATCTCGATTTCGCGTCTTGAACGACTGTAACCTCGCGTGCATTTCATCATGCGTGTTACCCGGTACAACAATTTTCACACCGTCAACCTTGCTGCTGTTTTTGTTTGGATTTTTTGAGTGTGTATGTACGTTATTCACTCGCTTCTTAACCGGAAGCAGAAAAGAGGGGTTCAACTTCACGCAGGCAGACCGGCTGACTGGCAGACGCACTCGCTCCGAGGTTTTTGTGACCCTCTGGAGGTCACACACTGCCAATCACTGTCACGCGGCGACCCAGTGCTGCATGATTTACACCAACCAATCGAATGGTTCGGAGAGAGGGCAGGTCAGCAATATAACGTGGCCGCGTGCGTTGGCTCAGTATCTCTTTTCGGGATGCTCATCTCGCAACCAACGTCGTTGACAGCAATGAAGAACAAAGTCATCACCTTCGCTGCCGGCCCTACCAAGGTTCCCACCGAGGTAATTGCCCATCACCCTCTGGTACTACGTCCCGTGTATTGAACGCGTAAGCAGCGAGAGTTAAGTCGGTAGCCCACCTTAAATACGCAGAGTTCTGTCTTATGGGACCGGTGGTATTAATTAAGTTAAATTTTTAGTTTATAAGTTTAATTTTAGTTTTAGTTTAGTGTATTTTAGTCTACGTTTAGCTAGGTTTATATAATATAGTTAGTTATAGTTATTTAAGTTATTTAAGTATACTTATCAAAGGTTGGCGGTATTTAACCAAACGAAAAGTAAAGTAAACTAAAAACAAAGTTTAAGTAATAAAAAAATAAACTCAAAACTAAAGTAAACTAAAACGAATAAAACTAAAAGTAACCGCAAGACTATGGGCTAGGGGTAATTTGTCGTTGGAGGGGGAAGGAGGAAGGGGGCAGTAGTCAGGTTGTCGGAAAGGTTTTTCTGTGCATTCAATTTTAAACAGCCTACCAACATGCCTTTTAAAGAATTTCCCAGTCGCTAGTTGAACGCAAGCATCTCTTTTTTGCATATTTAAGCTGCGAAAGCGTTTACCGTGTTTTTTTTTCTCCGCCGGATACGAATGTTAACAGAATTATCTGACGCCATGCTAGAATTCCCATTAAGAGGGCAGCAGTATATGCCGTTTTCGTAGGTATGAACCTCTGCGGTAAGGATGAGTTATAAGTATGACCATAATATCACACAAACCCAGAAATTTGTGATACGGGAACAATAGTAATCTTGAAGAAATTTTTTGCAGATAGCGGTAGAAAATAAAAAAAAACATATCGTCTAATAGGTACCAGTCGTTACAACTGCTGAAAAGCAATTTAAATGGTTCTTTCTGAAAAGTATATACATAAGACCTGGGATATAACATAGACTTGGAAATAACAATGAAGTTTCGCATAAGCTGTAACGTCTCATTCCTGTTTAAATATATGATTCAGTGGGTATGCTACCTCTACATGCAAAAGGAATAGCTTCCATTCGAAAAATTACTTAGTAGGAGTACTAATTAACGTAGGGCCTAATTCAAAGATATTCCAATCACGTCAGGATGTCGGCATTTTAGGGAACCTCTTTCTGACAGCTTACAAAAAGTATATTCTGTGCAAGACGACTACTTAATAAGTATACATTGTTCTCATTGTCCTTCAATGCTCTTATAGATTCGAATGCATTTTATAGGAAACATGCTCGAAAATACTTCTTCTTGAATGCGTTTGGTAGCTGAAAATGTCTCTTGCGAATAATTAACCCGAAGAAAGGGTACCTTTCGGTTTTTAAAAATTATAGTAATTGGATTTTTTTTTATCCAACGTGAAATATTCATTCATAATATATCGTTTCCTTCAATTTATTAATGCTGTCTATGAAGTATATAGAACAGTCCACATATAGTAAATTCGATGAAAAATGTGTGACTACTTCCTCGTGCAATATGGAAAAGTGCACTTTTTCGTAGGCTCAGTGCATGCAACATGTAGTTTGAAAACCGTGAGTTCAGGTGTTCAAAATTATAAGCCAATTAAAAAAAACGTTTATAAATAAAAGGTCCGCTTTATTAAAGTGTAAAAATATAAGAAGACATAATTTCCTGTCCTATAAGTGCAATTCGATATCTTTTTGTGCATATTTTCTGTAAAAGATGTTTCCATTTATAAGGCCATTAAAAATCAATGAGAAAAATGCATGCTACTTAAGCAGCTGTGTCACACAAAGTATGATATTTTTGGGTTTTCAGAAAGATGCTCGTTCAGCAGCTGGCATCCTGGCGTGACTGAAGTATCTTGATATAAGGCCACACGATAATTATTCTCTCAACGTTATTTAGGTAGTATAGTCGAACCGAAAAAGCATTTCAGAACTTTGGTTAGCAGTGCACGAGATAAAGAATCTACTGTTTTCTTTGTTGCACTCCTTAGGTAGAAACTCCAAATCTTCTTTTCATCTATATGTAATATTTAGCAGATAGGTATATTTGGGTTTACGAAATGTTGTCCAATCCCCGAATATTATTGAGTATGATCTTTCATAGCGCTTGCGTTCAGGACCTCTAGTCTTCAAACTGCATAATTTCCGGGCAAGGAAAACCATACGCTTAGGAAGATTCAGTGTGGTTTTCACAAAAATGTGCAATGGATGTGGACTGCATTGTACATTTCAGGAGAGGCATTATAGAATGTACGGACACGACTCTATTATTGAGTGGACATTGCAGGGTCTCAAATAACGCCTAAATCGAAACCTTTCTAAAGTCAAAGGATAGACTTTCTTCGAGCTGTCATATGTGTATAAGAAAGGATCGATAAATCGATTGACTGAGGTCTCATCTAAGGTCCAGGCTCCAATCAGTTCGCGGCTTGTCTAGCTTCTGGCGTGAACGATTATCTTCGCAGCTGCGGAGTAAGCCTCGTGACCCGTCTCGTAGGTGTGGCCAGCCACTTGTGATAATGCGTCATCCCGTCTTACAACCAGCTCATGTTCGTGTATGTGCGAACCAAGGATGCGTCTAGTCTGCCCGGCGTAACTTCGAGGACAGTTAAGGCACGAAATGCGATACACCACACGCGACTGCTCACTAGGATTTGATCGGTCCTTGGTTTTCATGACTCGGCTGTGCATGGTAGCCTCGGTAGAGGTATATACTTTTTTTTCAGCCTTTTCAGCAAACACGTCTTGTATTCACAGTGAATAAAGTTAGACAAACACAAAGTAAATAATACAGAACGATCACAAACAATGCATAGAGATTGTGACTGAAGAATCGTCCTTGAACGAGTCGCAAATTGCGATTTACGTTCAGGCGGAATCGGACTTTCTTCAAAGCGGTGCTGGCGGCATGCAGTATTGACCTCATCGTTGTAATAAACAAAGAGTTGTGAAAATCGGTTCAGAATGGGTGCAATAGGCCAACCGATGTATTTACATGCAAATGGAGAACAGAAAAATGACCGACCGGTTTCAAAGCCAGCTGCAATTTACTTTTTTACCCTTAGGTCAAGGAAATCATACGCAACGAGATGCTTGACTTCCAAGGAACCGGTCTGAGCATTCTTGAGACGATGCATCGATCCAAACAATTCATCAAGCTGATTGAGACCTGCGAGAAGAATGTTCGTCAGGTGCTGAATGTACCCGAAAACTACAAGATCTTATTTTTACAGGTAAATCATGCAAATCATACACGCATTAAACCTTTTCCGAAGGCAGTATCTTTCAGCAAGAAGGACCTTTTAGATTGATGTTTTGTTTCTCATCATTCGGGTTTAAAAATGAATAGCTGTACATAATTATTTACCATGCGGACATCACAGGTACTAACTAAAGCACTAATACGCTTTGTTCGAGTACCTTGTATCCTTTGACTCAGTATCCTGTCGTAACGCATACGTCAATTCCCAGTGATAACAACAATTGGTCTAGTACGGTATTATTAAACAAATAGTGAAGAATAAACAGTGTAAAAACTGTAGCAGTGGATACACGTACTCATTAACAAAGGAGTCGATCAAATATCGCCTGACTCTAGACAAAGGAAGAGCGCATGTCCAATAACACCACACATGTGCAGGGCGAAGCCCGGTCTGGGAGATCGTGTGTAAGGGAGATAGGGTGGCCGCTGCGTTTAGGTGACTTTAGAGCTACGTTATGTGTTGTACGACTTCTGAATCGCATTGTCCGAGGGGGCATAGAGGCCCATGCTGCGTTGGCCGAGGAGCGGCGCGTTCAAGTGGCCCTCTGGCCGCTGCGACTGTTTAGGGCACGCGTCTGGGCCTGAGTCGACCTGGGTCAAGAGTCTTCGGGTCAGCGAGTCACAAGCAAGAGGCATTGAAAAAGAGGGAAACAGGATTATGGGCTATCTGCCAAAAAGTCGACCACGGGTCTTCAAATCAGCGGGTCGAAACAGCTGCCTATTGAGGCAGCGGATAGTGAGCAAGGGGGCAGACAGCATTATTGGGGAAAGGAAACAATCGTAAGTAGATCAGACATAATTCCACTGAAGATTGACGTGGAGACTTTCAAAATATTGTTCAATCGAAGGTAATGCGCGTGTTTCGCGGATTTTGTGCCGTTGTGTGGGGCAGCTACGATCGGCTTGACTTATCAGTAGATCCCCTAGCATTCGCCTCGTGTACTTCCTGGAATATGAAGTCCAGTTATAGCCTGTCGCTTTGCATCTTCAAAGAACTCCATGCGCGAATCTGGAGTCAGTCCTTCAGAACAAATTTCTCGAGGCTGCGTCCAAAACTTGATATGAATATTTGAACTGAAATCCATTAGCTACTGCGGTATAATAGCGTTATATTAATAAACTGTCAACAGGCAGTCAGTAGCATACACTACACAATTACCATATTAAAAATGCAGGCATAATCTAGCAGTTTGTCCATATAAAGTGGTTACAAAGCAGTAGTTGATAAGATCTGGCCTAAATACTCATACCAAGTTTCGTACCGAGCCCGAAAAGGTCCGTCCCAAAGAATTTCCTCCGAGTTCGTGCATAAATTCCCTCGAATATTGAGAAAAGATTAGTTTGCCCATCCTGACTGTGCAACCTTTTTAGGGCTAAAAAACATGTTTTTATCCATCTGAGCTTTCAAACTCTTACTGTAGTTCACCGCCAGAGATAAAAAGCGGCAACAAAACGAACAACAGTTAAAGGGGATAGGGGTCAGTGAAACACTAGTCTGAAGCTGATTGAGCAGGGCTCTGTTGGCAGTCTCCAGATCGATAGATGGATTGACTAGGGCCTTAGCAGAGGTCGAGGCTTTAATCAATTCCCGGCTTGACTTGCGTCTGGCATGGGCAATTACCTCCATGGCTACGATGTTTAATTCATTAACCGTTACGTAGAAGTAGGCAGCTACCGGGTGCT